CGTTATAGCGTTAATGAAGATTCTTATAACGAAGTCCTGATCGGCTGGATCAGCAACTTCGTTATATCGAGGTGTGATTATATATTCTAGAAATTAAATTTCTTTCCCCTCGTAGTGATTTGTATTTTAAATGTAAGGAAATGCGATTTAATTCACAATATTGGACAGATCAAAAAAGTGTAGATTGTGTATATAAATGGAATAATCATTTTCAGTGGGCACAAAAAGAAAGAGAATATTATAGGTATTTATTTATATTTTTATAAAGAAAAAATCTGTAAAATATTATATATTAATAAAATCTTTAATAATATTAATATTTAGAAATTGTATACAAATATCAAAATTATTTTTAAAATAAAATTCTAATTTTCCTAATTTTTTTATTATAATAATTCAAATTCTCTTAATTTTAAAAATTTTATATCATAGAATTATACAAAATAAGTAAAACTTTCATTTTCTTCATAATAAGAAGTATGGTTTTTTTAATTAATTTATGATATATATATATATTTTAATATATTAAAGTGATTTTTTTTATAAAAGTGAAATACATATTTCAAATTTCTTTATAATATTTAAGTTTTAGAATTTGTAAAGATGCACACTCAATTCAAGTAAATACTTATAATTTTATATTTTATTCATAGATGCTTTTTTTTTATTCTAGAGAAACTATTTAAATAAAGAAGAAAATATTGAAAAAAATGTAAATACAGTTATATTCTTTATTTATAATTATTTTACTTTCTATAGAATAAGTAAAATTAATCTAATAATTTACATGAATAATTGTATTAAGTAGAACAAAATAATATTATGATCATATATTTAGTATAGTAAATTGCATATAGGTTGCATACCAAAATTACATATTCATTTATGATATCTGAATACATAAAATTTAGCTCTAATAAGTTTTTTGATCTTTTTAAATTAAAATTACAAAAATCAAAAGTTAATAATCTTAATGATTTAGTAGATGTAATAAATAGTTTAACATTAAGAGGTTATAATCAAACACAGATAATTTTTGATAAAGACAGAAACTGTATAGTATATTTTTATAATTAGAAAAAAATTTTTATTAAATTATTTTAAAATAATTTCTAATATTTTAAAATACTATCAATTTATTTTTTATAGTAATAATGTAGGTAAAGTAAAAGTAAAAAAAAAAAATTGATGGAGATAAGCAAATTGTAGATATTATATAAAAATAAATTTTTCTATAAGAAATTTTTCTTGCAGAATTATCAGTCAAAAGATAATGATATTTATATGAGCAGATATGTCAATATATTAGAGATCCTTAAAAGCAAAATAATTATTGTTCATTACTAACCATTCAAAAACTAAGTAAATAAATAATTATTTATACCTTTTAATAGATCCTTTACTTAATAAATGAATAAAAATAATATTATCATGTAATAATAGTAATTTAAATAAGTTTTTTATTTCTATTTTATCTTTACCTCTCTTTATATTTGTTTCTACTTTTATTTACCTTTATATTTAGCTTTATCTCAAATTTTGTTTTTACTTCTACATTTATTTCTAGTTTAATATCTTCATTACAGATAAAAATGATCAAAAAGTAATAAAAAAATATAAACAAAAAATTAAAAAATTAGATATTAGTTTTATAATTGCTTTAAATGTTAAAAATAATATAAAAGGATTATAAAATTTAATTTTAAAATATAATGATAATATTAAAAATATCCTATTGATAATTATTTTAAGATAAATAATAATACAAGAATTCTTTTATTTATCAATTTATAAATAATAAATTATATGTGTTAAGTTTAATTATCAAAAACTTTTTGATAAAAAATAGTTTTTTTTTTAGATAAAAGAAATCAAATATTTGAAAAACTTAATACTGAACTAATTATATTACAAATAATTTTAAAAATATAATTAAAGATTTATTTTCTAATAATAAAAATTCATGTTATATATATATAATATATGAAGATTATATAATAATAATAAGATATAATAATTATATATTACCTACTGTGAATATGTAATTCTTGTGAATTATAACAGTTAAATAGGATATTTCTTTTAAATCTACGTAGTAAGATATATAATTATATTATATTAAGTATAAATATTTACGTATAAATATTTATTATCTAAGAGTTTCATAATCAAAAATTTACGATAAAAATAATTTATTGATAAATATAAGAAAATGTAAGAAAGAAAATAATAAATAATAAAGAAATAAAGAAATTATTTAATTAAAGGTAAAATACAATAAATAAAACCAAGTATTATTCAATAACTTAAATGTATTTAAACTACTAAGAAAAATTTTACTAAATGTAATTAAATCTGGATTTACTTAAAAAGTTTAAATAACTGAATTATAATTACATAGAATAATATATTAATTATCTCAGCTTTTTCAACTATTTTAACAATTTTAATAATTTTAATAATTTTAACTAAATTAACTAAGGTAATTATGTTAATTATGTCAAATATATAAAATATGTTAAATATGTCTAATATGTCAATTATGTCAATTATATTAATTATATTATCACTTAGATTATACTATATAAATAAGTTACATTTTGGTCATCTGATCACATTATTATTAAAGAAAAATGTTATTATGTAGCTAAATTTATATATAATTATATGTTAGATCATTCTTTTAATTTTAAATAAATTAAAAAAAAAGTAATGATCTATATAATTATTTTAAAAATAATATAAAATTTGATATAATAATAGATGTTAGAAAAAAACATTTTTGAAAAGTATTAAAATTTTAAAAATTAGTGAAACTAAAGATTTAAATATTTTGCTAAATCTAAATAGGTTTAAATAAGCAATTATAGACATAATACTAATATATTAATATTTCATAAATTATCTAATAGTTTAATTTTTATTATTAATAATAAGCTTATATATAGTAAAAATGTAAATAAAAAATATTAATAATATAAAGTTAATGATTATTATATTAAATAAACTTAGTAAAAAAATATTAATATTTACAATTTACTTAAAAATTGATAAAAAAAGGAAATTTTTTATATAAAATATATCTATTATTATTAATTGTATTATTTAAAAAATAGATAATATAAGTTTTTAATAAAATTAATAATAAATTTTAAAATTATGTAACTTTGATAATAATTGAAAAAAAATTATAAATAAATAACTTATATAAAATGAATTTTATTAAAATTTTTTGATTTTTTTTTTTTATTATCTCAAATTATAAAAAATATATATTTATAAATTAGTTTTAATATAGATCACTGCATTCATGTGATTTATAAAATCATTCACATTGATTTTATCCAAGCATGCATGCGATAGTATTTTGAGATTCCGGAAAAAGTATAAAGTTATTTATGCATATTGAAAATTTTTATTCATAAAAAAAAAAATAAATAAAAAAAAAAAAATGTATTTGTAAAGATAGATAACATATGCTCGGATAATCACGACAATAATTGCAATTAACCGTTGATTCATTATAGCATTAGGAATTACAAATTTGATAGGATATTCTTTAAAAGTTAATCCAGAATTGAAAATGAATTGAATGAGTTGAATGATGAAAGTTCTCACATGACCCTTTTTATTTACCATCATGATCTATCAATTCGCCACTTTTAAGGATTTGATAAACAAATATATGTAGAGAAATACATAAATATCCTGATTGTGGCTATGTTTTTGCATATAAAATGTCATGCGCAATACACAATTTTTTTTTTTCGTTTAAATATATATATTGATAGATTTCCTATAAAATTTGAAGATTCCTATCATTAGAGATTTTATAAACCAATGAATCGTGAATGCGATTTATAAGAATCAAATATGCCACTAATTATTACAGGAACGACGACAATTGCAATTAGCGGAATGGTTTTATTATATGTCGATATGTTACAATGTGATATGATTTATCCGTCTAATTGGCCAAACGGATCGAGAAGATTTGTGAGTTTTAGATCCATTTTGAAAATGTTGATGAAAAAAATTAATTCGAAATTTTTTTTTTTTTTTAGATACAAAAACCATCTGAATATGGAATTCCGTATTCAGAGGTTACGATGGTTACGGAAGATAGTGTCCGTTTAAGGGCATTTATATGTAAAAGACCGATAGATAGAGAAGCTAGAAAAAGACCCACGATTTTAATGTTTCATGTAAGTCATATCAATTTATAAATTTAATTTTTTTATAAAAAAAAAAATACGGATGATTTTATTCTTTATTTTTATTTTATAGGGTAACGGAGGAAATATGGTACAATAAATTTAGCCATAGGGACTTTTTTTTTCTATCAATTAATTAAAACCTAATTTCTTTGTAATAAAGGGTCATCGATTACCGATTGCAGAAAGATTCTATAATGAATTTAAATGTAATGTGGTACTATTATCTTATAGAGGGTATGTAAATGCAAAATGATAAAATATGTTATGTTATGTCGACTTAATAAAATCAATTCATAATAAAAGGTATGGACGTAGCGAAGGAACACCCACGGAAAAAGGATTACGCATAGACGCACAGGTATTTTATAATCACCTTAGAAATAGTTTAAAGTAAAATTTTTAATTATTGGTTTTTTTTTAATTAATTATTAGACGGCATTAAATTATGTGTTGAAACATGAAATATTTAAAGATACTAAAATTGTAGTTTATGGACAATCATTGGGTGGCGCTGTAGCTATTGACTTGGTTTCAAAAAACGAATCAAAGGTTAACGCATTGATAATTGAAAACACATTTCTTAGTATAGTAAGTTTTTCAAAGTCGACCTTTTCAATTTTTTTTTTTTTTTTAAAAAAAAATCGAATAATTTGCTTTTCCTTTTTAGCCGAAATTGGTTCCACATATACTACCACTACTACAATATTTAACATTTATGTGTTCACAAATTTGGCCATCCGAAAAATTGATAAAAAAGATTAAGTTTATACCAATATTACTTTTATCCGGGACAAGAGATGAAGTTATACCACAACAACATATGAAAAAATTATTTGAATTATCCCAACCAGTGGCGGTAAAGAATGGAGAGAATTTTTATATGGTAGTCATAATGAGACCATTTTTCAACCCGGTTACTTTCAATTTGTTGGTAAATTTTTAAAAAAACATGTTGATTTAGATAGGAATTAAGGAAGGAATCATTCAGTAATGTATATTGTATATTGTACTGTACAAGTAAATTTGTATATTTTGAATTAATAGAGATTATTTAACGTAAATAAAAAAAAAAAAAATTCCATGTGTTCATTTTCTTCGTTACACAAGGAGAAATGGAAATCGGTTAAATTAGTGAATCAGATTGATTTTTACTTTTTGAACTTATTCTCGTCTTTCAATATTTTGAAAGCCTGTTGTAGTTGTCGTTATTTAGAAAAAATATTTCGATATTTACAAGATAGATACGATGACAACGAGAATTTACGCAAGAACAGCCATTCCATTGTTAATCATAGGAGGTACTATAGTTAGTGGAATTACTATATTATATTCTGTTCAACGTAATTCAATTTATACATCGAATTCTCCCGAAGGCTCAAGAAAGCATGTAAAAATCAATAAATTATCGAATCTTCATAAATCGATTTAATATATAACTGAAAATGTATGTGTATGCTAGGTACCAAAACCTTCTGAATATGGTATTCCTTATTCTCCTGTTATTTTAAAGACAAAAGATAATGTTAATATTCGGGCTTACGTTTGTAAAAGGCATACTGACGACGAAGCAAGTTCTCGTCCTACTATTTTAATGTTCCACGTAAGCTTATTATGATGAATTCCCGTATCTAGTCGAATCGATTAATTCAAACTGATTTTTTATTTTTATTTTTTAAAAAAAAAAATGTTATTCAGGGAAATGGAGGAAATATGGTAAATTAAATAATCAAATTTAAAAGAGAACGAATTGGTTTAATGCTTAGAATATTCTTTAAATTAATTTTCTTTGAAGGGTCATCGATTACCTATAGCTGAAAGATTTTTCAAAGATTTTAAATGTAATGTTGTGATGGTTTCTTACAGAGGGTAAGCATAACACGCTAGCTCAAGCGACAACATTAAATAATGTGTTAAAACAACCTTAATTATATCAGATATGGTCGTAGCGAAGGGACTCCTACCGAGAAGGGACTTTGCTTGGATGCTCAGGTAAATCACACTTCAAGACATCGTTTACCTTGCTAGAGATTGTAATATCTGATTATATCTATGTGATACTTATAAATAGGCCGCTTTAGAATATATAAAACGAGATGAAATTTTAAGATGTACCAAATTAATAGTATATGGACAATCACTTGGAGGGGCTGTAGCAATTGATTTGGTAGCGAGAAATGAAGGAAGTATTAACATATTAATCTTGGAGAATACATTCCTCAACATGGTAAGTTATTACAATCTTGCTCTCTTTAAACTAAAAAAAAAAAAAATAATAATAACAAGAATTTTTTTTTTTCCTGACATAACAAAAGCAAAAAATTCTTCCAGAAATATTTCCAAAAATTAAATTTCTCTGTTCAGATGTTTGGCCATCAGAGCAAAATATAAAAAAAATTAAAACAATCCCAATATTATTTTTATCAGGCAAAAAAGATGAAATCATACCACCATTTCATATGCGAAAGTTATTTGAATTATCTCAAACTAGTGGTGGTAAAGAATTTATTGAATTTAATGAAGGTAGTCATTTAGATACGGTTCAACAACCGAATTACTTTCAGCATGTTAGCACGTTTCTTCAGAAACATATCGTTGCTTGGAAAGTACGTTAAATTATTCCATGATAAACAATAAATTTAATAAATTAATTTAATTACTATTACATAAATCTGCATCAGACACGAGGTAATGTGTCGATCGTGGTAAATCAATTGGTTAACCTAACCTTTTTAATCCACAACTTAAAAAAGTTGGATCATTTCTTATTTTCAAATGTCAAATAATTTATCTGAATTTAGTATATATAAAAAGGAACAACTTTATGACCTCAGTTCGTCTTGACGTTTGGTCAAGTGACGATTTTGACGATAGTCGTAATCGTTTTGTTGGAAATTCTTTTTCAGAAATGGATAATTTAAAACGCAGACACACTACTACGACACAAACACAAGGGTATGAACCTGTTTCTTTCGAACCTGACATCGATTATGCTAAAACTCAAAAACCACAACGTTCACCCTCTACTAAGGTAATGTATACATGTTGTTTGTTTAATCAAAATGAATTGTATTTACTTTATTTTTATACTTAAATCTCTAGTTAGAAGAGATTCGAGCCATTTACAATGAATATTACGATATCATTCATCCTTTATTCTTCACTGCTTTATCATTTTGGACAAGATTCTATTTAATTTCTCTTTCGGATATCGTATTATGGGATGAGGCGCATTTCGGCAAGGTATGGTTCTTGCTAATTTTCGATCATGTTATTTGACTTTTTCATCCAACTCCATTATTATCTTTAGTTTGCATCACATTATCTCAAACAAGAATTCTATTTCGATGTACATCCACCTCTCGGTAAAATGATCGTTGCGTTGGCGGGGTTGATCGCCGGTTATGATGGTTATTTCGACTTTACATCTGGATCAAAATATCCTGATAATGTAAATTATGTCGTAATGAGAATCTTCTTGGCTTCGTTTGGTGCATGGATGGTTCCTTTGGCTTATTTTACAGCCATCGAATTGGATTTTTCACAACATGCAGTCTTTTTAGTGGCCTTGATGGTGTTGTTAGGCAAGTTACAAAATGTTAATTGGATTTTAATACATATATTCTAATTATTTTTTATTTTTTATAGATACCACATACATTTGCATCAGTCGTTTCATTCTTTTGGACGCGATGCTGTTATTCTTTACTTTCACGACTGTTTTCTGTATGGTGAAATTTCATAATCATAGATACGAGTACGTATATCATTGTCTTTAATTTTTATTTATTCGTTTAAGATGATTTAATGATAATCTTTTAAAAGATCCTTTTCGATTGATTGGTGGATATGGCTGACTTTGACCGGAATTTCCATCGGTTGTGTCACGAGGTGAGACTACACTATTTTTTATTTTTTGTAAAATTGATTTATTTTAAATTTACCTAACAAAATTTAAATTGCTTTAAAAAGTGTCAAGTGGATCGGATTATTTGTAACAGCATTGGTTGGATTATATACTATCGAAGATCTTTGGGATAAATTTGGGGATTTAAGCATGCCAAAGGTAGATGGTACAAAAGTATTATCCTTTTCCTTATAACCTGACATTAATTTTTTTTCACCTTTAGTTACTTTATTTACAACATTGGATAGCAAGAATTATCTGTTTAATAATTCTTCCGATTTTGATTTATATGTTGAGCTTTGTGATTCATTTTGCAATTCTTACTCATAGTGGGCCGGGAGATGCCCAAATGAGTTCTCTCTTTCAGGCTGGGCTCATCGGAAATACCTTTGTAGAGAATCCTATTGGTTGGTTGATTTACGTTCGCTTCTATAAAAAAAGATCCTGTCATTGATTGTATTTTTATTTTGTCATTTAGAATTAGCATATGGATCAAAGATTACAATTAAGAATATGGGATTTGGTGGTGGTCTTTTACATTCCCATGTTCAGGCATATCCGGTAGGATCAGAGCAGCAACAAGTAACTTGTTATCATCATAATGATGTTAACAACGATTGGTTTGTTAAAAAAACGAGAGAAGCTCCAATTAGCGATAATGAAAATGAGGTTGAATTTGTGCATGATAAAGATACGATTAGATTATTACATGCTCAAACTGGAAGAAATTTACATAGTCATCAAGTTGCTTCTCCAGTAACGAAATCACAGTGGGAAGTTAGTGGTTACGGTAATGATACAATTGGGGATCTAAATGATTATTGGGTGGTTGAAGTTGTAGATGATATGTATACAAAGACGGATCGTATTAGATCATTAACAACACGTATGAGATTTCGTCATAAACATCTCGGATGTTATCTTCGGGCTGCCAATGCGATATTACCACAATGGGGGTTTAAGCAGGTCGAAGTGACTTGCGATAAACAAAATAATCCAAAGGATTTACACACTTATTGGAATATAGAGCGACATTGGAATGATTTGCGTATGTTTAACGTTTAGTTTTAACATCATTATAATCAATTTAATACCTAATTATCTTTCTTTTTTTTTTTAAAAAAAAAAAAAAAATTTCAGTGCCAAGCGGAGGTAGAGCTTATTATAAGTCGAATTTTTTAAACGATTTCTGGCATTTAAATGTTGCCATGTATACAACGAATAATGCACTTGTTCCCGATCCTGATAAAGAAGATATTCTTGCATCTACACCAGGACAATGGCCATTATTAAAGGTTGGGTTAAGGATGTGTAGTTGGGCAGATGACGTAGTTAAATTTTATTTACTTGGAAATCCAGTGGTATGGTGGTCCGGTACAGCATCCTTAATTATATTCGTATTTATATTACTTTGGTATTTAGCAAGAAAACAGAGAGGATATAAGGATTTTTCACCAGGTAAAGAATTTTTTTTTTTTGATTTTCGTGTTAGCTTCTTTAGGCAAATCATTCAAGGCAAATACGTATAATATATATGTTTATTTATTCATAGCTCAATGGACACATTTCTTATTCGTCGGAAAAGTATGTGCAATAGGCTGGTTATTACATTATTTGCCATTTTGGATAATGGGAAGGGTTACATATTTACATCATTATTTCCCAGCATTATATTTTTCAATATTAATGGCAGCATTTGTGACGGATCATTTAACTAGTTCTTGTAAATCAAGAACAAAGAATATAATATTTGGTATATATTATTCCCTAATAGTAATAGTATTTTTATATTTTAAAGACATAGCATTTGGTATAGATTATCCTGCTAGTGAACTTAAAGGTAGGAAATGGTTTGAAACTTGGAATATTGTAGATTAAAAAACATTATATAAATATAGATAATTTATTAGACAAATAAATGTATTGGCTTTAACACAAATGTTTCATAGATTTAATTTACCACTTAAACCAAATAACCAATTGCATCATTGTATCTCCATTCATTATCCCAAAACCTATCGGAAATAATAATAATAATAATAACAAAAATATTAATTTAATAATCAAATATTTCAATCAATGTCAAAATGTTGTTTACTAACCCTGCACCAAGTAAACCACCAACTCCTTTCCATTTCGTTTCTGATCCTGTAATAATCCAATCCGGAATTGGGACGCCAGTTCGTTTAGGAAATAGTTTAGCTATTTGATCTAAACCAGAAAGATCGGTTCCTGAGATTATTAGCGAAAGTTGAGAGAATTTATATGGGTGTAAAAATAAAATTCCTAAAGGAATAAGAAAAAACGCGATGATGTTAAAAATCGAGAATATCAGGAGAAAATTATATCTTAAAAGATCATCATAATAACCCGTTCCGGGATCCGAAAATTTTTTATAATTCAGTTGAAATGAACCATCCTTATAAAACTTGACTATGAATTAAAATAAGAATTATCATGATTAAAAATTTCAGTTAAAAATATGAACTTTCATAATATATATACCTTCACTAATTCGTTCATTCATTATCATTCCTGTTACTTTATTCTCAAAGATATTTCCCAACAATACCATATTCCCTTTAACATATTCATTACCGGCGAATTCATTGTCATCAATTAAATCAGTATCATGAACGATTATGGCATTTCCATTTCCATAAAGAAACCATGAATGAGAAATTTCTTGAGCCACATTCATGAATTTTGAAGTAACAGCATTTGAAGCCGAAGTTGTTCCAATTACTATAAGCAATGGAGATTTAGATTCAAGAATTAAATGAGCTGGACCATATGTTAAAGGATGCTTTTGTTTATACATCCATGTATCATCATTAGAAACCTAATATAATAAAATAAAATAAAATAAAGTTAAAAATTTTTAATAAACAAATATTCAATTAAAAAAAAAAAGTGCATTACCTTCCACGCATTTCCATTATCATTTTTATAAAACCAACCGCTTTGTCGCAATTCTTGATTCATGGACAATGCATTAAATTCTGTATCATCAATAATTATTGTTGAAATATTTTCGTTTAGATTCTTAAATTTAAACCTTCTGATATTTGTCGTTTTTAAAGTATATGTAATCGAAGATAAACCGTCTTCCGGGCTAACTTGATATAACTTTACGTGAATCTTTCCTAGCCTTTAATTTTTTTTTTTTTTTTTTTGATTATAATTAATTGACAATATTTAGATTGATTGATGTGATCTCATTAATTTACTTACCTAAAAGGAATAAACAGTTGTTCAACAATTATGTTACCTTTACCTCCAAAATTTGCGGGGTTCATTAATGTAATAGTAAATTGACGCAATAGAACCGGATCCTTTATTAAACGATTATCTGATGATAATTGGAAACTATCTTTTTGGGTTAATAAATATTTATTCATAAAATCCTGCATGACTTTATCACTCATAATATTATCAAACCAATGTCCTTGATCTATCACTTCTGATAAGCTAACAATAAAAAAATCAATTAAAAAAAAAGGAAAAAAAGGGTGAATCATGATTTATAGAATAAACTTACTTTATGGCCAATGGATTATTTGAATATTCATTTACTAATCTGACCATTTGTCTTGAATGCATCGGAGGTACATTATCATCATTTGATCCGGCTCTTGCTAATATTGGTATGTTAACCTATAAATAAAACTTCAATAAAAACAATTTGAAAAAAAAAAAATTTTAATGCTAATTTACTTTACTTACCAAATTTGAAACATATAGATCATTATTAAATTCCGCTAATGATGAATCCAAAATCTAATAAGGGTTAAAATTTTATAAATAATTATAAAATACATGCGATTGATTATTATAAACATTTACCCCTTTTAATATAGAATCTATATGAGCAAAACTGTTCCAAAAATATGGCACATAATGTTGAATCTTAACATAGCCTGCTGCAGGTGTGCCAGCAATCACCGAATCGGGATAGTGTGACATGTAATACCAAGCACCTTGTCCACCATTTGAATGTCCTATATAAAAAGTTATTTAGTAAAATTTATTATTTTTCTTTTTTATTTTTTAAACAAATTATAATCACCTGAAATGAATAATTTATCTGGGTCTGGTGTAAAATCGTTCAAATATTCTTTAAATGTTCCGGTTGGATTTACCAAAGCTTTTATAGCATATTGAACATTTAATAAACTCGGTCCATGCCAATCATATCCCCATGGTGTTCTTCCTGTAGGTAATAATACCTTTATATAAATATATTAAAACATTAGCACTTGGCTAGTAAAAATAAAAATTAAAAAAAAAGTTCTCTTATAATTAATTACCCAGGAACATCTTTGTTTTGGATAAGCATTAGTCCAAAATTCTACATCAGCTTCAACACCAGCTCCATGTAATGCTACCAATATCGGAGCTTTATTGGGCGTAATACTCTCTTTTGGGTGCATAATCATGGCTAAAATTGGAAATAGTTAATATTAAATATTTGATCGCTATAATTTAGAATCAAAGAGAATATTGGATTACCATATTGAATCGATTCATCAAAATCTTCAAAAGTAAATTTATAAAACGCGTCTAAATTTTTATACTTGATCTGTATTTCTTTAGTAGTTTTTGTCAAAAGACTTTGATGACCTTTTGGTGTTTTTGAGGATATATCAAATTTTAAAGAGAATGGTAATAATGGATTAAAATAAGGTTCTTCCAAAGTTAGTCTTATTTTAACATTTTGATGTTGTGAAGGTGCAAGTCTTATTCCGTTTGTTAAGGAGTCATAAGAGGTAGGAATTAATTCAACTGTTATCTAGTAAAAATCATTTATTAAAATGATAATAATAAATAACATTTAAAAATAATTTCGATATTACCTTTGTAGGACAATTAACAATCGCAACCTTTTCAATATCAATCCATTCATTTTCCGATGTATTCAATATCGGAATGCTCATGTATTCACCAGCAAATCTTGTTCCTCCAATTATATCAGGCACAATGATTCTTTCATGCAAAAACATTGCACCCACTTCTTCTAGTTCTAAATTTCTTAATTCACAATCGAATTTTATTCTTGGTGGAACTTTATCACCAAAAATTCGAATTTCATTAACGACTCGTACATCAACTGTGTACCGCGTATTAGGTGTTAAGTAAAGAATATTATAAGATGTACGATAATTATACCAATCCCCATGAAATCTTTGGTTATTAATGTAAAAATCTCCAATATTGTGACATTGTACGAGGATTGGAATTTTTTGTTCCGAAAAGAACTCTGGAGTAGTAAAATATCCCCTAGCCCATAATTGAAATTGTGAAATTGACCATCCTAATGATTTCTTATTAAAATCCCACCTTAAATTTTTTTAAAAAAAAACAAATATATGTATAATTTCTTGATTGAGGATCTTTTTTTTAAACAATTTTTTTTTTTTTTTTTTACCTAATGTTATTAAAGTCAATTGGTCCTACCGAACCATCTTCATTTGATTGAATTTTTGACCAATTTATAATACCATTATTAGCTAATTCTGATGGAAATACTTGTTCTTTTGAATATTTTAATTTTGAAAAACCACCTGATCAATTTTTTTTTTTAAAAAAAGTTTTAATTTTAATTTATAATAAATTTGATGGAATTATTAGAAATGTAAAATTTGATAATATACCATAAGCTTCTAATGGATCCGCACCAAAATCCTGTTCACGTGTTCCAGTTGGAAATGGTCCTAATATCTTGGTTTTTTTTTTGTTTTGTTTTGATTTTTTTAAGAAAAATTAAATAAAAATAATTTAATCAGAAATAAAAAAATCTAACAACCTCCCAGAATTTTGGTTTCGTTAATAATTGTTTCTTAGAAATGAATTGATAATGTGCAAATGATAACGAAGTTGACATTCTTTAAAAATTTTTTTTTGTCAATAAGAAAAAGAATAAATATTTTCACCGAGATTCTTAAAATTAAATAATCTACAGATTGTGTTGTGTGGCATGATAAATAAAGATAAAGATTGACATATCATCTTTCCAAATTTATCAAATCATGCATATAAAAAGTAAAAGGTTATTTGACTGCTATTTTTCAACTCTTTCATGAACAAAAAAATTTTTTATATAGAATCCTTTTATTTAAAGTGTATTAACGAATGATTTTTAATAAAGACAATTTAAATATGAGCAGTGATCCTCAAACTGGAACAAGCACTAACCGGGCAAATACACTTCAAATTCCCAATGTAGGAATTGAAGGTAAGTATTTCTTAAATCAATGATTTATTTTAATTTGACTCAATAAGAACTAATTTTTCTAACAAAAAATTATAGAGACAGGAGAACTATCACCATCTTTAATAACGGCAATTAATCACCTTTCAATTGAGAATTCTGACGATGAATCGTCTTCTGATGATTTAGAAGAAGACTCGGACACTTTAAGGAATGAGGTATTTTGAAATTATGGAATATGTTAGAAATTGGCCGAAATTTATAAAACAGTTTACATGTTTTTTTTTTTTTTTATCGCAGTCGTCTTATGCGAATTCTGCATTTGATGAATCCACTACTACATTATCCCAACCTGTTGGTCCTGCAGAACATTTAAGGGCTTTAATTATAAATAGACCAACCGCTCAAATGATCACAACTTTTAGATTACAAAAAACGCGAGAAGAAATGACCCAGGAAGAAGTAGTTAAATTCGTATTGAAGTAAATTTTAATATAGATTTCTTGTATATTGCTTCGTTAACTACTTTTCTTTATTAATTTAGTTTTCTTTTATTTAATCTTTAGTCCTGTTCCGCAAGGTCAAAAAGTTCTTTGCAAAATAACTCGTAGTAAAGATGGTTTTGGAAAATTGTATCCTCAGTACGAACTTTCTATTGAAGATACGTCAGAAAATGGGGAAGAGACAAAAATATTTCTTCTTGCTGCTAGAAAAAGAAAAAAGAGTAAAAGCTCTCATTATGTCATAACAACAGATCGACTTAGCGCAAATGTCTCGTCTGATAATATTGTAGGAAAGGTCAGGTAAGCTATGATTATGATGATACATCATCAACTTTTTTTTCTTTTCTTTTTTTTTTTTAAAAAAAATAAATGATCTTATTATATTTTAGATCTAATTTCTTGGGTACAGCTTTTGCTATATATTCAAATGGGAGAAATCCATTTAAACGTGAACCCGAATCAACAGCTTTGCCTATTCGAGAAGAATTGGGAGCAGTTGTTTATGTGAGTCTTTATTTTATGTAAGAAAATATTTTATTTCTTTGAAATCATTATTAAGAGAAAAAAGTTTTTGACAATAATTTATAGGATCCTAATATCCTTGGGTTTAAAGGACCCAGGAAAATGACTGTCTTATTAATAGGTATGACGAAGCATGGTGCAAGACCGGTATTTAGACCGGAGACGGTAAGAATTTATTATTAATCTTTTCTTTTGTTTGTTATTCATGTTAATTAATTAATTTTTATCGGATTAGGATGCAGAAACATTGATTGGAAAGTTCAAAAATGGAGAACATCGAGATATTTTGGTATTGCATAATAAATCTCCACAATGGAATGAAGGTAAATATTAAATTAACAGATTTTTGTTTTTAATTTATAAAATTACTAAAATAGTTATTGTCATTACAGAAACACAGTCATATGTTTTAAATTTCAGTGGAAGGGTTACTTTGGCCTCAGTGAAAAACTTTCAAATTGTACACGACAATGATTGTATGTTTCACTCTTAGTTGCAATTATACTTATTTAACTTAAATTTGAAAGATGATATTAACGGAATTCTTTTGTTTAATTCAATAGTGGATTATATCATAATGCAATTTGGACGCGTTGAAGAAGATACATTTACGATGGACTTTATGTATCCGATGTGTCCTCTCCAAGCGTTTGCTATCGCTTTAACAAGTTTTGATGCGAAATTGGCTTGTGAATAATGTTTAATGTTAACCAATTTCTTGATTCTAAGGTGAATTGACTTTCTTATAATGAGTACTCATATATTAATTATTAATAAATTTTATTTTATAGGCATTTCGTTATTATTAAAATTTTGGAACTGAAACTGGTCGATTAAATGATTTAATGGGTTGGGTTATGTTCAATATAAAGTTTATTTATGAATTTATGATTAATTGTAATAATATTATTAAGTTGTGAGTGAGATAATAATTGTAATTAGAATTAGATGAATAGATATATTTATTTATTTTGACTCCGATTTTAATTAATCCTTTTAGATTAAAGACGATGATAATCTTGCATATTCATTTAGACAATTTGATTATCTGGTGTAACTCAAATAACAATATATTGTCTTAATAAATTCCCATCCTTTTTCTTTTCTGTGATTTTATTATTAAGATGTATAGATATTTTACAAAGAGAATGTTTTCTTCAGGTAAAATATACATCTTATATAATAACTTAGATGGTTCATTTGATTCAATCTTAAATTTCTTCTTTTCCCAAAATATGGTTTAGCTCAAAGTAAGCCTTTTAAAGGAGAGTTTGTAGTGATAACAGGAGGAACGCGTGGAATAGGATATTCTATTGCACAAAAATTTGCACAGAATGGTGCAAGATGTGCTTTGATAGGACGTAATAAAGAGACAATTGAAAAGGCAAAAAGTTACTTAAATAAAAATCTTGAAGTAGACAATAATCATATAGGATATAAATGTGATTTAAGAATTCCTACAGAAATTGAGAAAGTTTGCACGGTAACACTCCGTTTTATGTGAAAGAAAATTTTATTTTTACTTTTTTTTTTTTAATTTGCATTATTTTCTTCAAGGATATTTTATCGTTACGGAATGTTGATTATTTGATTAATGCTGCAGGTTAACTTAAAGATACATCGTAAAAATAAAATAGTTCTTCATTAAATGATTTATTGTTTCTAGGAGTATCACATGATTCGCTTGTTGTTAGACTTAAAGAACAAGAAGTGAATGATATTATTCAAACAAATCTTCTTGGAACAATTTATATGTGTAGTCATATCTCTAAACAAATGGTTAAAACGAAAAAGGGTGCAGTATTAATAATCGTACGTAAACATTTATATTTTTTTTAGAATTAATTAATCGTTTTTATATTTTGTCAGGATGTATAGTTAATATATCAAGCGTTGTTGGATTACAAGGGAATAGTGGACAATCTGTTTATAGTGCTTCAAAGGCTGGAATTATTGGTATAATGTATATTTTCTTTCGTTATTACTTTCTTTAAAATAATATTTAATTTATAAATCTGTTTTTTTAGGATTTTCAAAATCATTGGCTAAAGAGCTTGCACGGAAGAATATTCGCGTAAATGTCATCGCACCCGGATTTATTGAGACTGATATGACTTCAAGTATGAATATATTAGTAATGAATAAAAATTTGTCTGGTATCTATACAATCAAAATACACATAATAAAACTGTAAATGGTACTCCCATATGTAATATTTAATATTTTGATTGTGTAATTACCGGATAATGGTCACTTTCTGCTGCGGCGTTCAAATGAAATGTTGAATAACCAATTAAACATTTCTTAATGTAATTATCATTATATTCAGCAATTTCTGAAAAGGAATCTTATAAAAAAAAAATACTAATGCAAAGATTTGGGAAACCTGAGGTAAATTAAGCAAAGGAACTTTATTATGATCTTTTCGAAAATTTCATTTTTTTTTTTTTTTGAATAAAATAGGAAATTTCTGATGCTGCTTTGTACCTTGCAAAAGCTGATTATGTTACTGGGCAGGTAAGTTTTTACTTTTATTTACAATGTATCATTTAATGAATTTGCTAACAAATTATTTGGCCTAAAGACACTTATTGTTGATGGTGGATTGATTTCGTCATAAAGATATAAATAGTAAGATATACTTTTAGTTTCTATTGCAACTTTAAAGATGCGGTTTAGATTTTTTTCAGGATGCCCAACCTTTAGACTTGCACATATCAGATATCTAATTGGATATGGAATATTAGAGATGTTAACGGTTCAGTACAGTTTCAGGCGGTCTGAGGGTAAAACTGAACCCGTAGATCGAGCTCATAATTTTAAGAACTCGGTTTTTAATTTGATTCTAGACCGATTTAATAAAACTTAACAAAATCCCCAAAGATTTTAACATCGTAATTATCATTATCGTTTTCACAATTTTATAAACTGGACTTTATTGTAGAATCGAAGTCCATCGGTCCCTCAAACTGGACCGAGACCCAACAATAGACCGTTTAACATCTCTATTCGCTTTTATCTTTTAGGATTGCTCTTTGTGATATGGATTTGTAGACAAATTACTAGTCATATATTATCTATCTTCTGAATGAATTTTAGAATTATAATCATTATCAATTCTATATTTTTTAAATAAATACAAAAATTAGAAAAAATTAGGCCTTATCTCTGTTAAATGTTCCAAAAATATTCATTATAAATATTCTGTCATACTAATGACGCTCAGCTTCTCCCGGATAAAAATGGTAGCTGGATTTGTTTTTCTGGGTATTTATTATTAGAGTAAGGTTTAGGATTATTAGGATTAGGATTAGGTTAAGGGGTTAAGGAATTTGTCACATCGTATCACATTCCGCCGTTCTTCATTTTACTAAGTATTCTGGGAACAGAGAAATTTCTTTTTTTTTAAAAAAAAAAAAATGCTAATTTTCACAGTTATATATCACTCCTAATAAGTATATGTGACCCGGCAAATAAATCCGTCTACCATTTTGTGACATTTGTTTTTCAACATTATTATTCAGTTTGGCCAATCAATTACACAAATCCCATTTTCAGCAATGAATTCCTTTTAGCGTTTTGTAGTGCAAAAAATTTTTTTGAAGTTAATGTTAAATCTGAACTTATTTTGCTAAAAAGAAATCATATTTAACTTATGAAGTAAAAATTTTTTTTAGTAGTTTCCTTCCTTTTTATTGCAAAGTGTCCATATGATATATGCTTTGAATCATTATCTTATTAATTTCATTTATCAAAGAATTCTTATTACAACAACATTGAATATTTAAAGATACCACTAATATTAATAATATAAAAATACCAATTTCTTTTATACATATTTAAGAAGCAGTTTTCTAATTTATTAATATAAATGATCTATCCATTATATTTGTAAAATAAGATAAAATATTTTTTTTCTTTTTGCAAAATACCTTTTTATTCTAAGTTTATAACATTTTTATATACTTGTTAAACCTTATTTTAAAAGATTAAAAACAGTTTCATTAGTGAAAATTGTTTGATTTTAATTATTATGAATATGCACTCTTATTCATATTAATTGTTTTTTATTATGTTAACTTATAAGTATTATCATTCTAAAATTACATAATTTTTGTATTCTTTTGTTTTATATAAAAAATGTATATTAGCAATATCATAAGTCACATGCGACTTAGATTAGAGTATGAAGGCAACTTCATAGTCTGCTGGTATCTTCATAATATAATGATAACTTCATAGTCTGCCGATATCTTCATAATATAATGGTAATTTCATAACACAATAGTAACTTCATAACCTATTAGTAACTTCATAATATAATGGTAATATCATAATCTAATTACATGATCTGCCAGTAACTTTATAACCTATTATCCATAATCTGATAGTAACTTCATAACCTACTTATAGGTATCTCCTTTGCGTTTATAGCATTCTTTTAACTGTTTCCTATATAATATGGTGGTAACTTTATAGTCTAATAGTTATAGATGCCTGCCGAAACCTCTTCAAAATAATTTTGTCATACCCTTTTCTATGTTTTTAATATAGTTTTGACAGTTTCAGCTTTCGTTATATCGAATGGATTTCGTCGTATCCCTTATTATGATTTTAATATAGTTTCGTCTAAGTTTCGATTGTTATTAAGGGTTTCGTCCCTCATCTATACTAATGGTGAATGATAGTGCTTTAATTTAATGGTGATGTCATGATCTAATAGTAATTGCTTTCTTCTTGTTTTTAATCCATTTACATGATAAATTTCATATTGCTGGTACTGGCTTTTCAGTCTTTTTTGAATGCCTGATTCTATAATAAGAGTGCTGGCCTCTTGTATTTGATTGGATGCTGGATTCTATATTGAGATACTTACCCTTTGCACTTGTTTGATTGCCTGTTAAAATGCTAAATTGTGATTAAAAAAATTGTGTCTAGTAGCACAGTAATTTAATATAAATCTGTATCTAAATTTGGCTAACACTATAGCATAATTTAGGCTAATTTTATGTATAAGGTTGGAGATGCAATATGTATTATTATGGTCAGCTCATTTATCCCCTAAATATCATCTATTTTGAATATATTTATTCCCGTTTCTTTTGTCAATCTGCTAAAAAATTGGTGACTCATTAAAGCAGAATTATTATAAGGAAAAGAAATAAGAAATTTTGCTTTAGTAAAGCACTTTGTAATAGGCAAGAAAGAGCTGAGAAGGGGCTTTACATCTAATATAATACTCTAAAATAGAAACAGCTTCAGACGATACACATACATATTATCATAAAGTTGTGAGAAAGTATCAGATACCACTTTTCAGCTAGGTTGAGGTAGTATAAAAAAAGGTGACAAGTAGCATAGTAAATTTGCGATTAATTTTAGCTGACACTATGTCATAATTTTAACAGATCTTTAGAATACATAATTTAAACTAGTAGATTATTTGGCTATTTTTTTAAGTGTCCTAGGATAGAAATTTTACTAAACCACTTTTTAAGGCAGATTTTATTATAGGTAAAAGTGTTCTTTTCTCGATTTAACTTATTCTTGTATTATCTTCCCTAGGTTCTCTAGGTGTCTTAGTAAAAATAAAGTTCTAGGAATAAAATCAAAATTTTTTTATGTATGGGATATGTATTATATATGTATATGATATGTGTATAGTATATACTGATATGTCTATAAATAAAAAATAAAAATAAAAAGTAAAGAAGTCTGAAATTTTCTAGGTTACCTAAGGCACTTAGGGCAGACCATCTGAAAAATGTTCCTTCATTCTAAAAATAGAAATTTGCTATTTTTCTCCTGTCTTTAGAAGTTAAAAACTTTCTAGGGCAGATTTTTTTAAGGTATTTAACTTCTTCCTATGGTAATATATTTTCAAATAATACTTATCAACATATAAATTACACATACCATAGGTTGAGGTAGTTGGTTTTTCACATTGTTTGCAAGGGTTTTGCTGATATCTTTTCTAATCAATTTTGCATCCTTCTTGTCAGTTACAAGTTCGTCTGCATATATTCTCTTCGTTAGAAAGATATTAACAAATAAATTTAGCTCTTATTGAGTATCTCTTATATTTCTATATTTATTTTTTATTTAAACTTTTTTCTCAGAATAGTATATCCTAAGTTTAGAATATTATATAGCTTTCAAAAATTATCTAAAAATAACTTATTCTAAGCTTTTAAAGTTCTTAGACGTGTCTGCCCTATTCTATTATAGGTTTAAAGCTGAAGATATAGGTCAATGCCTATATAAAATTTGTGATGATAGTATTAAACTGAGAAATTTCCTTAATGCAGACAATGAAGACGAAATAGAAGCTATACTCTCAGATCGTAAAGGACACTTTTTACATAAATTTATTGATGATAATGAGCCACTTCATCCTATCATCGATTTTGATTTACTAGTAGAGGTATATAATAGTATTGAACCTAAGCTTACATGTAAAGAGATACTATATACACTCAATTATACCTTTAGAGATGTCTGTCTTAAAGTATTTTCAGAATGGAATAGAAATAGTATTACTGTTGCAAGTAGTAGTGATGCAAAAAAATATCCTTTCACATCTTTACTATTGGTACGAGACTTAAAAACATCACTCAAGTCGTAGTATTCACTAAGCTTATTCGTAAAAAACTTCTAGCAGCTCTTTAGGAGAATAGTATTATAGATAATATTATGAATAAATGTTCTTTTTCTTGTGAATGTTTGGTTTGCCTAAGTATGATGAAAAATAAAGAAGTACATTCGTATAAAAAAGCAATATATCCAAAAGATGAAACTATTTTTGACTTCATGATTCGCCCATTTAATGATAAATCAGAAATCGTAAAGTCCTCTCTTAGTTGTTTTAGAACTAGAAGCTAAAAGTTGTAATAATACTAATAGTATTAACGTGCAATCCTTGCGAATTACGACAGTTAGACAGGGTATTCGAGTGGTGATTCTTTTAAGTTTACGTAGCAATTTAATCTCAGTTTAACTCAAGTTTATATAATTTACATGACAGTGTACTTTCGACAAGACTAAAGGGAAAATAGCAATTGATTCAGAGGTATAA